GCTGAAGGAATACCTCCAAGAGATCCATACCAGTGACCCCGTCACGAATAAGCTGGACCACTCGGTCGACCAGCACCTTCACGTGCGCCTTCTCCTCCGGGAGCACCTTCAAAGGGGAGGGTTTTTCCACTCGGTCCATGGTAAAGGGAGGGAAGCCAGTCGATTGCCCTGGCGTCGACTGGTCTTTGCAGTAGAACCAGGTCGACTGCCATCCGCAAACTGAATTGGGAAGAATCATGGCCGGAAAGGAGCTTTTTCCCCTCGTCTGGATGCCAAGACCCCCACACATCTGGATCACTTGGGTCCTCTCGTCACTCGGATTAGCCTTTTTCACTGTCTGGGAGCGACAAGTGAAAATATGCTTGAAAAGACCCCAGTGAGGTCGACAACCCAAGAAGTTCTCACACAAGGAAATGAACGCGGCAAGATAAACGATTGAGTTGGGGGTAAAATGGTGGAGTTGAGCCCCAAAGAAGTTCAGAAACCCTCGGAAGAAAGGATGAGGAGGCAAGGAAAACCCACGGTCGACGTGGGTGGCAAGAAGAACGCGCTCACCCTCCCGGGGTTGCGGCTCGGATTCCTTCCCCGGAAGCCGCGCCGAGTCGTAGGGGATCAGCCCTCCCTCGGCCAGGTCATCGAGGTCTTCTTGGGAGATCCTCGAGTGGATCCAGTCGCCCTGGATCCAACCCTTCGGCAGGCCAGTCCGCGAGGAGGATCCGCCCCGGCTCGGCGCCTTCCCCTTTGACCTCGCCGTCGCCTTCTTTGCCCGCTCCAGAGTCGCTGTCTTCTCCTTCACCATTGTCGCCGACGAGACGCGTGTGGCGCGGTGGTGCTGGAGCGAGAGCGAGCGCAGAGGAGAGGCATGAGGAGGAGAAGAGATAATGGGGCACACTGTTCGGGAGACTCTGGTCCAACGCCTTATATGAGGCCGCTTCCGAGTGGCTGACAAGTAGGCCCAGATGGCTCTGTCAAATCCCGCAACGACCGCACGAGCGATACGTGGCAAAAAAGGTGGCGTGGGAATCGAGGCGGCTCCGCTCTATCTCGTCCGATTACTGCGGCCTCCCCCATCTCACGCGCTTCCCAAAATTCGGATCCCACTAAATCCGCGGGCAGCAAATAACTTGTTAGACCAAAGATCTCCTCCGCACCGTCACTCGGAGCCTTACAAGTAAAGAAACTCACTCGGCAAAGAATTAAGAATGGATCAAGGCGACTGAAAAGGGAGTTGCTGTCGTCACTCAGGTCCGTTGATCCGAAACAAGATATGCTCACGGCATAGAAAACGAGTCGGAGAAGTCCTCAACTCCTTCCCCACTCAAACCTCGATCCATTCGGGGGCTAATGATGAAGCTATGTACCTAGGGTAGGGTCACGGACCTGTCCTAACTGCCCTATCCAAGGACACCTCTAGAATAAATCACCTTTCAATCGACTTGGAGGTGTTCCACTCAACAGACTCGAAGACATTCGACCAAGAAGCAATTACTCGACCAAGATCCAACCACTCGACGGCCAGGAGACCTAAAGTCACTCCGCATGCTAACGGTCGGTCATTAAGTAGCTTTTATGGTCATCATAGCACTTTATTACTAGCGTTATCAGTAACGCCCTACCTTAATGTACATTGAACCCTTCGTAACATGGGCTGGCCGGGGTCCTGGCGCACTCTATATAAGCCACCCCCTCCTCCGAGACAAGGGTTCACACCTCTGTAAATCATACACGCATAATCCAGTCGACCGCCTCCGGGCTCCGAGACGTAGGGCTTTTACTTCTTCCGAGAAGGGCCTAAACTCGTAAACCTTGCATCCTTACAACCTCTCCATAGCTAAGACCTCGCCTCTCCATACTTACCCCCCTACATTACTTTCAGACTTAGAACCACGACACTCCCTCCTCCAATATGCGGACGATACCATTATTATGGTGGAGGGCACCTCCCAAGACATTGCTAACCTAAAGTTCCTCCTCCTGTGCTTCCAACAGATGTCGGGCCTAACCATTAACTTCGATAAGAGCGAAGTGATGGTGCTCGGGTTCCCCCCTGAGGAAGCACAGTCCATCGCGGATCGCCTTAATTGTAGGTTGGGTTCTTTCCCCACGACATACTTGGGGATCCCCATTAGTGACTCGTGCCTCACCGTGGCGGACCTTCGCCCCACGGTGACCCGTATGCAACATCGAGTTGAACCTTGGAAAGGGCGTTGGCTGTCTAAGGCTGCTCGGGTGATTCTCATCAACTCTTCGCTGGCTAGCCTTCCATGGTTCCTCATGAGCTTCTATAGCCTCCATGAGACCCTACATCAGGAGATCGCCAAGTACCAATCCAGATTCTTCTGGGCTGGAGAGGGAGATAAGAAGAAGTACCATATGGTTAGCTGGCCTGATATCTGCAAACCCAAGGACCAGGGAGGTCTTGGGATCCTGTCCTCCCACCGCATGAACATAGCCCTCCTGACTCGTTGGCTCTGGCGCATTGCCAATGGCGATGGAGGTCTCTGGCTCACCATCATCCAGAACAAATATCTTCGTGGACAACCCCTTGCTTTCTGTCAGCGCTCGGGCGGTTCCCAGTTCTGGCAGGTCGTCGTCCAACTGCTTCCGGTGCTTCGAATTGGCACTTCCATAGCGGTTGGTACCGGATCTTCGACCCTGTTCTAGTTTGACCGATGGCTTGGGGACTCCCCCTTGGCCGCGCGATTCCCCGTGCTCTTCACAATTGCAGTTGACCCTCGTATCTTTGTCGAGGCGGCCCTTATTGACTTAGGGCGCCTCGCCTTCCGCCGCCCCTTCGGCCCTCCCGAAGTTGCTGCATGGGACGCCCTTATGCAGGACATCGCCCTCCTCCCTATGGACGGCGTTGACTCCCCGGATGTCACTTCGTGGCGGCTTGAGCCCTCCGGCTGCTTCTCCACCAAATCCCTCTACGCGGCCATCGCCCCCTCGACGGCCCCCGAACCCTTTAGCTTGATTTGGGATATCCGCCTGCCCTTGAAGATCGGGATCTTCATATGGCAATGGATTCGCGGTCGCCTCCCAACGGGCGTGGAGGTCCGTAAGCGTAATGGACCTGGGAACGGGATGTGCCCCTTGTGCGACACGGTGGAGGATGCTAACCACATCTTCTTCTCGTGCCCTACGGCCCAGTTCCTCTGGTCCTGCTTCCGCGAGACTGTTGGGGGCCAGTGGTGTAACACCAACTTCCCTGACCTGCTTGCGAAAATCCATGCTTCTCCCCTCGCTACCGCCATATCAGATGGCTCTGCGTTGGGGTCCTCGCCTGGACGATCTGGACTGTTCGCAATAAGCTTGTCATTTAGAAGGTCCCTCTTCGACGTGCTACTGACGCCATTTTTAAAATATGTGGATACTTGCAGTTCTGGCGGCTGCTTAGCCGCCCCCAGGATCGGGACGTCATCAACAACCTCATCGCCGACCTTCGCTCGATGGCCTTCAGCTTGGCGCCCCCGCTCCTCCCGCCACCACCGGAGCCAGACTAGATGTTGTGCAGCACCCTCCGTGTGCGTGCCTTTTTTGCTTTTCAGGGCTTGTTGAGCTGTGCCCTCAGCATTAGCCCTTTTGACTTCTTGCCGTGTCAGACCTGTGCGTGTGTGTGTGTGTTGTGGACGAACTTTGTTGGCTGTTGGGCTTTATCTATAAAGCGGGGCGAAAGCCTTTTTCGGTAAATTTTGTGACCCTTTTCCTTGTACAAAATCTGCATGGATGTCATCTATTCTTTCCGTTTCAAAATAGATGACTCAACTTTTTACTAACTTTGTACAGCCCATGCCCCTAATTCTCTCACATGATCCAGTCACTGAAATCCCATCTGTGTCGCAGCTGGTCTTGGTTTCCCACGTGACGGGCCCGGACCCTCTCCCCACACGGCGACAACTGCCTTTCCTCAAAGGGCGTGACGATGACAGCGCAATCGAGAGGGCGTGGTGGCGGCAGCAAGCAGGCATGCTCCGACCTCAGTCCTCCTCCTTTCACCCGCCACGAAAGTCTGGACGACTTCATCCCAACTTCCTTCCCAGAACCAACGATCCTTCTTGAGCAGCGAAGGTAGATGTGTTAGAATGGTTTTAGCGGTGTAGCAAAGAAGCTCACCACACTCACGACGATCGAGTGTCAAGATGGACTATTTCTTTTTTTAAAGGATGGTAACTCTCGACCTTTGCATCGAGTGATGCACACAACCATATTCCTGAGGTGGATTGTCGCAGTCAAAGGTGGCGAAGAAGGCAAGGGAGAGGATGTGTGCAAGGAGGAGGGCCACACAATTAGAAGAGATGACCTTTTTGAGTTTTTTTTTGTGAAAAGTTCCCACATGGTAGTAGTCGGCATGACATCTATGCAAGTGAAAGTTGATGCAGCGTAAATAGGACTACTGATGACACACTTGACAAACTTTTAGGACCCAAACATGCATTTTTATAGTATTGGAATTATTTTGACACCTCTCAAATAGTTTTAGGACTTGTGCTATATTTTACTCTTTTTTAGGGACATATATATTTTACTCTTGTAACATTTCGAAATAAAAAAGAGAAGGCCGTTCGCAGCCCACCGAGCTGTCCAGGCCCACCTCCACCGCCCCCTCGAACGCAGGCGCGGCGACGGCGACGAGACGAAGCCTCGCTCCACCGCACCGCCGCGGCCTCGTCGTCTTACTCTGCTCCGGCTTCCTCTCCTCTCTTCCCCAGATGGAGCGCTGCGCCAGCCGGACCTCCGCCCGGCCGCCACATCCCCAGCCCGCTCCCGCCCCAGCCCCAACCCCAGGTGCGGCGCCGATCCACCCGCCAATTCACCAGCTCACTCACGCACGCGCCGCCCTCGCTAGCTAGCTAGGGTTCCGGCACGGGACAGCACGTCGTCACGCGATTCGCTGCAGCGCGCTCTGCCTACTAAGCCCGGGCATGCCGTGGCGGCCGTCAGTTGCTCGACTTGGCCGAAAGGTTTGCCTGCTTGCGTATGTGATGTGCTGATGGGAATTCATGACCAATTTTGTGTGGAGAATCCTCACGCAACCATGCGCATGTATCAGTAGCGTAGCCATGCCCGGAGGAATCGCCCCTTCCGTTCTGTTACTTGTGGAAGGTTAGGTTCGGAAAATTCAGAAATTGTTTTGCTGTGTGGTTCCAAGGTTAGGTTCAGAAAATTCAGAAATTGCTTTGCTGAATGAAGGTTCTGAACACGGACCAGTAAGGAGTTAAATAACTTACTACCAGCATTTTTTGATCGTGGTACAAACAACCTCACAGTTAACCATCTGCTGATTTTTTCTGGACATATCCATATGCTGAATTAGATCTTAATGGATCCGCTGGGTGTCGTGCCGCAGGCCGTGGAATATGCATGATGAGCACCGCGTGGAGAGACAAGCAGGAACACCACCTTATCAACTTCATTGGCGCGTTCCTGGCCGCCAACTTGTATCGCCTAAACTTCCTGTCGATATCTCCTGTAAGCGTCTCTTCCGGCCCTGCAAGTCACAAGTCGCGAATGATTCTGTGCTGTCTTTGCAAAAACTGATGGAGGAGGTGTATTACAGGACTTCATCTTCAACAATGGGGGGCTATCAGTTGCTTTCATCTTTGAGACGAGCTGGGATCGTGGGAATGCAGCTGCTGTTTTTAGCAGGTGCGACACTCTTCCCTGCTATGTTTTACAGCAGCATGCTGCTATGGTGTTTGTTTGCTGTAACGATTGTAATGGTGGCTTCAATGTTGGAATGATTCCTGTTGCAGGGTGAATGCATTGAAGAGGCAGTTCAAAAATCTCTATGTCGTTGTCTCTGTTCCCACGGTGGAGCAAATCGAATCGTTTAATCAGTCTTATTTCAAGTAAGCACCTAATATGTATTTTGCTAGTGCTGGGGTATGTTAGTTGGATCATTGTTACTCATGTGTGTCTTAACCAAGGTATGGCATGGAGCTTGGCTCCCCTACATTTGTGTCTGTTAACGATCCAGAGATGGGATTTGAGATGATGCTCAAGATTGCTCATGCCCGTGGAGGTTAATATCTAACTTAATTTGACTCATGATCAAGTCCTAAGCTGCAAGCATCTGACACAGATCAACACATTTTTTTTGTTCAGTATGCAAGCAGCAGGACATTAGCTCAACAATGAGGAATGAGGTACTTTCACATGCTTCCAGATCTATCGCTGCACTAAAGTAAGCTAAGTGATTTCTTGCCTGTGTCTGTAGCGGGAGCAAGCAGTTCAGTGCATGGATGCCTATGTACGAGTGCTCACCTCTATTCCTGGTATTGATGATCACGATGCCAATATGGTGTGTACTGAACTATCTTTTATCTTAATATGTAACTGGATGATCTCTTGGTTACTGACTAGTCAATTTCAGTTTTGAATTATTTGCGAGTTTTGGCTCTAGTGAGAAAAACAACTCAAATGGTATTGACAATAAGTACAATCATTTGCCTTGCCGTTGGCAATCATTTTTCTAAAGCATGGTTGATGACAGTTCACCGTAGACAAGTGCTCAAAGGCTCAAACATAATTATTGTGCCTCCTCTCATGAAAAACTTGATGCTATGCAACTATTCAAGAATGAGAACTAAGCATTTGCCGGATTATCTAACTTGAGAAGTCCTCCATTCTCTCATATTTTCTCTGTACAATTTGTCATGCCATGCTAATTGCAGTTAAAATCTATTGATGAACAGTGAACACCAAATTTCATATTTCTATTTAACTACCGTGTGTTTTCTGTATCTACAGTAGTCATATCAGTATCATGCCATGCTGATAGTCATGCTCTTGATTTCATAGCTTGCCCAAGCTATTGGCTCCATTGAAGCAATTGCAAAAGCATCCGAGAGTTCTATCCTAGAAAACACTGACCTCTCCAGGGATAAGGCAGAGACAATTGTCAGGTTCTTCAGGGATCCGCAGTTCTACTTAAGCCCTAAAATCAACTAATTTTTGCAGGTATTCTGTTCCCCTGACTTAAGATATGTAGCCCACCTTCTTTACTTTTGATGTATGGCTACCGTATCAGAGAACTGCATGCCTACTTTTTCTTCCATTCTTCTAACTCATGATGAGTATGCGGTGTTGTGCAATTCCTTGTGCACGTTTACCTTTGTATTCTCCTGTTATTAGCTTTCTTCTCTAAATTCCTTTGGTCTTACTCATGACGCCACTTCTTTTGCCGAGCTAATGTGCATGCTCAGCCTATGGTGATTTATATGATTCATTACGTTTAACTGGGTTTCCAATAGCTTGTCAGATGAAATAAAAGCATATATCTTGCATCTAAATCGTTGGGTTCAGAAGTACAGTAGTTAAGTTAAGCTACATATTCTGGAAGCAAGATACTACAGAGCCCGATGCATTCACATGATACCGATTTTGTTGTTTGGCAGGCAAATTGAGGTCGATTGGCTACTGAATCTGCACTGGGACGAACTCCACCGACTGCCGAAGCCATTGGTCCTCGTCGGCTACTGACTGCCCTGGTAGCGTTTAACGATGCTATGTTGCTGTAGAGTGCCACAGATGTGTGTTTGTGAGGATGTAGTGCAGCAACGATGCCATACTGCTTTTGCTTCGGATTTTTTACTGCAAAAAATCAGCTGGTTGGCTTAACACGGCGATCGTTCGGACTGATTTGCCCGACTCTTGTGCTGGAATACTTGAACGGCAGCCCAGCCTACTCTGCAAAGATGGCACACTGACTTACTCAATTTGCTCATGAGCATGGAAGCAATTTGTTCATCAAGTAATGCTTTTTTTTTGACTAAACATGAATTAGTTGGCTAATATTTGGATTGAGTAAGTAGCAAGGGCTCGTGCCGTGTCGTCCGCACGACCGCACCAGATGCAGAAATAGGAACCACTCGATGGATGCAGCTTGCTTCACGTATAAGTTGGAGCAGAGCCAGGAATATTAATCCTGAATCATGATTGGGAATTTGAGTTAATAATAATGACTAATAGCAAGATAAATACTTTTGCCTTGACCAGAACCGAACCAGACCGGATCCGCTTTCGCTGTCCCGGGCACCACCACGCCCAAACCAAAAATTGAAGTGGCCGCTGGGTCCTAAACACACACACACACACACGCGCTCTCTCTCTCTCTC